TCCCCGCCGCCCGCCGCCCTCTCCGCCGCCTCCCGCCGCGGCCGCCGGGGGCTCCGCGGCCCGGCCGCCGGTCCCGGCCGGCGCGGGGGGCTCCGGGGGAGCGCGGGGGTCGCGGCGGAGCGCCCTCCGCCCTGCGCCGCCGGGGTTACGCCGTTGGCGTAGGGCGCGGGGCGGGGCGGGCGGGGCCGCGCTGCGCCGTTGGCGTAAGCGCCGTCGGGCGCCGCCTTGCGCCGTTGGCGTAGCGGAAGCGCGGCGCGGCGTTGCGCCGTTTGCGTAGCGCCGGGCGTGCGCGGCGCGGGCGGGGCCGCCTTGCGCCGTTGGCGTAGCGCGGGGCGGGGCCGGCGCGCGGGGGGCACTTCCTGCCGCCGCCATTTTGTCGCGGACCGGGAGGAAGCGGTGGCGGCTCCTGCGCGGCGGCAGCGCCGGCCCGGCCCGGCCCGGCCCGCGGTGAGTGAGCCCCGGGACGGCGGAGGGAGCGGCCGCGCCGCCGGGCGGGGCCGGGCGGGGCCGCGCCGCCGCGGCGGAGGGAGCCGCCCCCGTTAGGCCCAGCCCGCCCCCGGCAGGCCCGCGCCGCTCCCGCCCCCGGGCCGTGAGGGGAGGACGCGCTGAGGGCGGCCGGGGCTGCGGGGCCTCCCCGGGCCCGGCGCTGCCGCCGCGCTCGGGCCCCCTCAGGGCGGCTTTGACCTTTCCCGGCGCGCTTTTCCCACATTCCCGGCGGTTGTGGCGGTTTTTTGGGAATTCCGGCTCGGCGCTGGGAATGGGGGGGGGCTCCTGGGGTCCCTCAGGGGGGCGCCGGGAGTTGGGGCTCGGGGCGGCTCCCTGAGGGGATTCCCGGGATTTGTGGGGATGGGAAGGGGACGCTGAGGGAACTCGCGGCTTTTCTGGGGCGGGAATTCAAACCCTGAGGGAATTCCCGAGTTTTGGGAATGGGAATTGGGAGCCTGAAGGAATTCCCGGTTGTTTCGGGATGAGAAGGAACCACTGAGGGGACTCCTGGGATTTTTTTGGATGAAGAGGGAACACTGAGGGGATTCCTGGGTTTTTTTGGGATCAAGAGTGAATTCCCGGGTTTTTTGAGTAGGAGTTGGGAGCTTGGGGGTGTCCCCAGAGTTTTGCGGTTGGAATTGGGAGCCTGAGGGAATTCCTGGATATTTTGGGATGGGAATTGGGAGACTGAGGGAATTCCTGGATATTTTGGGGTCAGAGGGCGTCCCTGAGGGTGTTACCAGGTTTTTTGGGAATACACTGAGGGAATTCCTGGGAATTTCGAGGTGGGAAGGGAATAATGAGGGAGTTCCCCTTTTCTTTGGGGTGGGAAAGGGACGCTGAGGGAATTCCGGGATGTTTTGGGAGGAGAATCGGGAGCCTGAGGGAATTCCCAAAGTTTGGGGATGGGAATTTAGAACCTGAGGGAATTCCTGGGTTTTTTGTGGTGGGAATTGGGAGCCTGAGGGAATTCCTGAGGTTTTGGGGTGGGAATCGGGAGCCTGGGGGAGGTTTTGGGGTTGGAATTTCCAACCTGAGGGAATTCCCGAGGTGTTGGGATCCCTCCCCGCTGAATTCCCTTGGATTTCCCTCCCCAAATTCCCCAAATTTCCCCAAATCCTGGCGTTGTCTGGGCTGAGCTTCCGGGCCGGCTTTTCCCGGGATCCAGCAGATCCCAGCTCCAGACGCTTTGGGGGGATTTGGGAATCACTTCCCAAAGTTCTGGGGCTGTTTGGGAGCTTTGTGATTTCTGCGCGTCCTCGGTGCAATTCCAGGGGGTCGGAGCCACTTCCGTCGGATTTGGGGTTTTTTTGGGATCATTTCCCGAGCTTTGGGGCGGTTTCAGCGTCGCCTGTGGAATTCCCAAACGTCTCTCCGAGTTTTGGGGCCGTTTGGGGATTTTTTTGTGGAATTCTGGGGTGGTTTGAGGATTTTTTGTGGAATTCTGGGGTGGTTTGAGGATTTTTTGTGGAATTCTGGGGCGGTTTGAGGATGTTTCGTGGAGTTTTGGGGTTTTGAGCGTGGTCTGTCAAATGTTGGAGCTTTTTGAGCATCACTCGGTGAATCTGGGGGCTTTTTAAGGATTTTTTGGGAAAGTTCTGGGACTTTTGAGTCTCATTTCCCAAAATTTTGGGGTCATTTGAGGATCATTCCCAAAATTTGGGGTCATTTGAGGATCATTCCCAAGGTTTTGGGGTTATTTAAGGATCATTTACCAAAGTTTGGGATATTTAACGGTCATTCCCAAATTTTGGGGTCATTTAAAGAGCTTTCCCAGATTTTTGGGTTTTCTTAAGGGTCAGTCCCGAAGTTTGAGGACGATTCCCGAAGTTTTGGGGTCGTTTGAGGATAATTTCCCAAAGTTTTGGGGAATTTGGGATCCCTCAGGCCTGGGAATGAATCCCTGCATTCCCAGCGGAGCATGGGATGAGATTCCCTGGCCAGAATTGAGGAAAATCGGGATTTTCCCAGGATTTTTATCGCTGGGGTTCCTCCAGGCTGCCTGCCGTGATCCCAAATCCCGGAATTCCAGGGAAAACGGGGATTGATCATGGAATTCCGGGCTTTCAATCCCGATTTTTGGGTTATTCTGGGAGCAGGGAGGGAAATTCCAAGCCCTGCCCCTCCCTCATTCCCATTCCAAGGGATTTCTGGGAATAATCCCCCAAAATTCCCTTCCCGTTCCTGGATGGGACCAGGGAAAATCTGGGAATTTTGGGATTGGAATTCCCTGGGTTTGGGGAGGATCCGGAGGATTTTCCATGGAATTCTGTCCCTGCAGAGCCGCTTTTCCCGGGATTTCCGTTCCCAGGGTCGGGCAGGGAACGGGGAATTCCATCCCGGAGGATCCCCCAGATCCCAAATTCCTCTGGAACGTGGCGGATCTGGGGTGGGAAAGGGGGGAAAAAAGCGGGGAAAGTTTAGGAAAATCCATCCTCATCCCAAAAAAAAAAAGGGCGGGAATCCGGGTTTGGGATGGGATTTTGGGATGAGCTCCACAAAAAGTGGGGGGAAGGATGGGAATTTTTGGGGATGGAATCGATGGAATCCTGCCCGGAGCTCCCCGTTCCCTGCGGGATTCATCCCAGATCCTGGCTTTTCCAAGGAAAAATCCCCCTGGATTGGGAAAATCCCGATCCATCCAAGTCATCCTGCTGGGAAAATTCCCTGGAAAACCCCCGGGATTCCGTGGGAAAAGGGATTTCTGTGGAAAATTCCCAAAAAATCCGTTTGGAGGAAAAATTGCAGCCTGGGAATTCCCTGCTGCGGCTCCTGCTGGGCTTTGGGAAAAACCTCGGGAAACCGGGAATTTGGAGGCTGGAATTCTGGGACAAGGATCCCAAATTTTCCCTTTTTGGCCTCCTTCCCTCCCCTTTCCCTGGGAATTCCGGGATTTTCCTTCGGGAATTCGGCGCTGGGAGTTGTCTTCACCTGGAACTGGGGGAAATCTGGGAATTCCCATCCCGGATTTCCTGGGATCGAAGCGTTCGGGGTTTTCTTTCCGGAGTTGATCCCGAACCGGAGGAAAACCGGGAATTCTCCTCCCAAACTCTGGGGTCGGAGCTTTGGGCGATTCCAGGGGGAGATTTGGGATCGCTCGGGGAGCTGCAGGAATTTGGGTCCTTCCAGAGGGCGGATTTGGGGAAGTTTTCCCGGATTTTTCCGGCTCCGGAATTCCGGGCTCGGATTTGGAGCCGCAGCCCCGCCCAAGAGGGCAATTAAGGGTTAATTAGGGCCAACTTTAATTGCCCGGGGTCATTCCCGGGGTTAAATCCCAACTCTGGGGCGGCTCCAGGAGGTTTTCCGGCAAGTTGGGGGCTGGAATTGGGAATTTTGAAGCTGGAATTGAGGATTTGGTGCCTGGATTGGGAATTTTGGGGGCAGGATTGGGAATTTTGGGGCCAGGATTGGGAATTTTGGGGCTGGAATGAGGAACTGATGGGAATTCCCTTTTCCTGTTGTTGTTTTTCCAGAGGTTTTTCCAACGGGAGCTTGGAAAATGAAGGTCAGAGGCTGAGGGAGCCACAGCTGGAAGGGGCACCTGGAATTCAGGTAAATTCCGGCTTTTCCTGCGGCCCTGGGGGAGGAATTCCAGGATTTTCCCTCCAAAGCGAGGCTGAAGCCGGAGCAGACGGAAATCCCTCCTTGGAATGTGGATTTGGGGCTGGAAAAACGGGGGGAAAACCGGGAAAAACGCAAATTTTGTTGCCAAATCCTCATTTTTCCGTAGGAATCTCCGGATTTTTGGGGATGCCGATAAATCCGGGGCGGTTCTCCGGGTTTTGTGGGGGAATTCCCGCTCTTCCCGAGGTTTTTATTCCCTCAGAGTCGGGGTCGGGAGGCGGCCGTGCCCGGAGCCGGGCCGGGATAGATGGACAAGCCAAGCAACTTCTGACTCCGCGGCTTTTCCGGGCTGAAATTCCATGGCAATGTATCCCACAAGGTACCGGGAACACGGGGGGGCTCCGGGGATCCCTGCTGACAATTCCTGCTCCTTTTCCCTGAATTCCTGCTCCTTTTCCCTGAATTCCTGCTCCTTTTCCCTGAATTCCTGCTCCTTTTCCCTGAATTCCTGCTCCTTTTCCCTGAATTCCTGCTCCTTTTCCCTGAATTCCTGCTCTTTATCCCCGAATTTCTGCTCCTTATCCCTAATTCCTGCTCCTTCTGCCAAAATTCCTGCTCCTTTTCCCTGAATTCCTCCTCCTTTTCCCTGAATTTCTGCTCCTTTTTCCCAATTCCTGCTCCTTTTCCCCAATTCCTGCTCCTTTTCCCCAATTCCTGCTCCTTTTTCCCAATTTCTGCTCCTTTTTCCCAATTCCTGCTCCTTATTCCCAATTCCTGCTCCTTATTCCCAATTCCTGCTCCTTTTTCCCAATTCCTGCTCCTTATTCCCAATTCCTGCTCCTTATTCCCAATTCCTGCTCCTTTTTCCCAATTCCTGCTCCTTATTCCCAATTCCTGCTCCTTATTCCCAATTCCTGCTCCTT